CGTATATCGATATTTCCGAAAGTTCACGAGTTAAATAAATCAAATAATTATTCCAATGTAAACATTCCAAAAATGAAGTATTTATATATGGTCTGTTCCAGTACTTTTTTAATAGTAAACTGAGCAAAAGGGAAACATTTCAAAATTGCTCTCAGAGTACAAAATAATTTGAAAAGTTCGGGAAACGCAAATCTAATAAATATGCCAAAATTAGATGGCAATACTTCAAAATCAACATAACAGCCAATCTGAAGTAGGCATTCCAATTTACCATTTTTAAAGCCAAATTTCTCGAGTAAAAAGTTTACAAAGAGAACGCCATTTTGTTTTGTGCTCTCTTAAATTTGATTCAATGTTTTACCAGTTTTGTGGGTTGAGAAACGGTTTTCGAGTAAAAAGTTGCAAAATATGTAAAATGAGTAGATTGTTTTAGGTTCTGGAACGGAACTATAATTTTGATTAAAAGCATGGTACAATAATACAAGGTAGTGCAGCTTGAAGTGAATAGCAAAAAAGCAACTATGCACGTGTGGCTTCTTCTAAACGAATGCAATTCGAAAAAGTAATGAAGGTTATGATTTCTTCCCAAAATCCAGTAGGGAATACCATAAAGCGTTTGTTTCTTCCATAACAATCTTCATTTCAATTAAAAGAATATATTCAAATTTATTTTGAATTTATTTGACATAGTATTCAAAACAATACACATACACAAGGCCTATATAAGGTCGGTCAGTAAGCACAGGTGAGTATAAAGTTTGCTGTCAAATCATATTTTGAAACATACATACACAAAATATGTATTTTGATTTGATGGGACAAGCCACCTTGAGAAAAAATTGTAATCAGTTGGTAGCTGTGCCCTACCTTGTAATAATTATACCATGATTAAAAGCATATTAATTTCTGTTTTGTTTAATTCGATTTTATCACTTTAGCAAACCAAAGTCGAAGATTTTTTTCTTTTACTGTGCTTAAATACGTGATAATTTAATTAATTTTATTTAGGGCACAAAATAACTTGTATATTATAACTGATTTACTTATAACCGTTACGGTCCCTGTCATCATTAGTTCCCTCTGTCGATTACCCAAAGTCCATTAGATTAATCATCTGGCAACTCTTATACTTACCCGTTAACTACTTTTCCAAGTGCACAAATACAACCCTGTCAACAAAATTGGTAAACACTAGACTATTGTGAATGATTATCGCATAAGCAAAATACATTTGCTTTCGCTAATGTACACCAACATTTCCTAACAAATATTTCACTGCCTTCAATACTTGTATCAGCATCCAATTGAAAACAATTTGAGAATAAATATCTCAAGATCGATCCAAATCAATTAGTAAATCCACTTATATAACATTGACAAATGGGTAACCAATGTGACAGGTGCAGTGCACACATATATGTCCAAGTACTCACCGGATCACTGGTTACTACATGATTATTACGCTCCACAATTTCGCTTGGTCTTTGCTTTTCAATTTGTTGCTGTTCTTCCTTAATGGCCTCACCAGTTTCAGCAGGGTAGGGAAGCTTTTGATTTTCATTAGCTGTTTCCTCCGCCACATTATTGGCAATTAGAGCTAAGGCTGTATGGGGAGCCACACGTGGCAACAACGGATAAGGACGTCTACCTTCACGCGACCATTCTTGCCATGTATTTGGTCCAGATATACTGTCAAAATAGAACCAAAAAAACGTTTGTAGAGGACAGAGCACAACAACATCGTTTATTTGCTAGACTTACGCTTCCGCAATTGTGGCCAATTGTTCATCATTGGCAACACGTCGGGCCTCTGCACGGTGTCGTTCAGTTGATATGTGAAATATACCACGCAATTCCTCTAACAGTTTAGCCTTGGCTTCACTCAGACCTCCTTGAGCGCGAAACACACTTATTACTTGAGAATACGATTCCAGCTCTAAAACAGATGAAAAATGCGCAACATTAGTCGCCTTTGAATGGACAGGAGATAGGGCAATGATCTTTCATTCCATAACCACATTTCGTCCCAAGTTATCGTTCACTTATTTCTGTTACAGTACCACTTTTTCTCATGCAGTGTACAGCACACGAACGACAACCTACCAAGTCTCCGTAAAATGCCTCGACATTCGTCTCTGGTCATTTGCAGTGCTTGCGGCCACATAATGCCTATATTCGGTATTTGTTTCCCCCAAGAAACTTGCACTTTATACACTGTTCCGTTTATTAAAATCTTTATTTGTTAAAGTTTGCAAATTGGAGCGAAAATGAAAAATTGGAAAAAATCCCACTGCTTCGTTCGAGATTGGCAGCCATTAATGTTTATTTGTCAAGACTTTAAGGAAGTGTTTGGAAACGTATGGTTGACAGTGCTACCAACATACAATTTCATTAAAAATGTCCAACTAACCAAAATGCGTCCCGAATAATTAATATATATATTTTTATAATTATATAATTTTTATCGTCTACGAATTATAAAAAAATCAATCATTATATCAAACATATTATAAAAACATAATCGGTTTATTTTACTTAAATAAAAAATATTTTTATTCCAGACGCTGAAAGGATGGAAAATATTTTACTACGATAAAAATGTTTCCTTTATACTATCGAAAAAACAGCATACACATTAGAACTTTTTACCGGGTTAACCTACTTTATGAGGATTTATTTAACATATATGCAAAGGAGTTGACAATTGAAACCCACTGGATTAACGAAATCCGGTTAAATGTAAACGTACTATTAATGATGTAAAAATTTAATGTGCTAAATCCTGTACAATATAAACGTACTATAAAAGTAAATTTACATATACGATTTTAAATCCTGAAATACGACCAAATTGTTTACACATAACTTTAATCATGATATAAATGTCGATCAGCTGCTATTTGTTAGCACACGTAAAAAATTATGAAGTGGCGCCAAAAATATTTGTTTGAAATGAAAAGAAAAACTACAGCAATGAAAATGTTTCTGCAATGATGTAATCTCTTGGAATGTAAAAAATCACCTGAAACACAAAAATTCTATAAATAATTTTTGCTTTCCTTTGATTTTCATTTTTGCATTTAGTAACCGTTAAATATAGAAAAAAACAACATGTGAAAACAGTTGCAAATTTTGGTACACTGTGAAAAAGTTGTATTTTTTTCGTATAAAAACCGCGTTGCATGTCATTAGTATCGTGATTTCGATCATGATTTAAAATAACCCTGCCGCATAATGATTTAAATTTGTATGATGAATTTATACGAAATCATGGTAAATCCAGCCTGATTAAGAAAATAAACCCTGGTTCGTCCTTTAATCATGAGCAAATGGTATATGTAAATCCGCTTTAAGAAAATAAAAGTACATTTACATATACGATTTTAAATCGACTCGATTAACGAAATCCAGAAATACACCCTAATTGTTTACACATACCCTTAATCATGATCTAAATGCCGATCAGGTGATGTTTGTTAGTATACATACAAAATTATTAATTTGCGCCAAAAATATTTGTTTGCAATTTGAAAAAGAATAGAAGAATTACCACAATGGAATTGTTTTTGCAATACTGTGATCGTTTGGAAAGTAAAAAAACACCTAAAAACACAAAAATTCTATAATTAATTTTTATTTTCCTTTGATCTGTCATTTTTGTATTTGTCAGCCGTTAAATTTAAAAACAAACGGCATGTAAAAACAGTTGCAAATTTTGGAACATTGTGAGAGAGTTGTATTTTTTCGTACAAAACCCGCGTTGCATCTCAGTAGTATCATGATTTAAAATAAATCCTGCTGCACGATGATTAAAATTTGTGTGGTAAATCATGGTAAATTTAGCCTGATTAAGAAAATAAACCCTGATTCAGCCTTTAATCATGATTAAATGTTATATGTAAATTCGCTTTAAGCCTTTAATCATTTAACCTACTTTATGAGGATTTATTTGACATATATGCAATGGAATTGACAATTGAAACCACTATGTTAACAAAAATCGGGACAATGTAAATGTACTACAAACGAATATTAAATGATAATTACACACATTGTCCAATAAACAGGTCGTGTAAGAGGTGAATATTATCGGCAATTTTTGTTTAAAATCCTCCAAACTGTCAAATTTTTTGTTTACTTTTCCATGCGATTAAGTCAAAATTGAAAAAATTTTGACAGCTCGGGTAAAATCATATGACCTTATCGGACGACGTTATTATTGGACAATGATTACAAACAACTCTAAATACTGCCAATGGCGAGCTTCCTTGGATTTTAAAGTCTCTTCAATTCTTGTACGTTTTTCATTTATTAAGCATAAAATTAACAGGGTTAACGAGAAGTTTGAGATCGAGTGGATTTAATATAGTGAGTGAATATCTGTGTCTGGTTACTTTTCAAGTAACATTTACGCAATAAGTTCTATTTCAGAGAGTAAGCCGTTCTTATTCTCTTTTGAAAAAAGTAAACAGACAACATTCAGTAATGGTCTGTTCATAAAATAAAAAAATGTTTTTTGACTTTGGTCAAAAATTTTAATTTAACAGCCTATTGAAATCCATCGAATATTGTGCTGGATAAATCTTACCCAGTAACATTCAGTAAGCTCTCAGGATAGAACTGTCAAACCAGCTTTCTCTTTTCGTCCTCTTTTACTGGATTTTGGAGTAAACAGACAACATCCCGTAACATTTGGTAGCAATTGTTACAAAATATCGATTAAACAGACACACCTAATGTACAAAAATATGTGGTCATAATCAAGACTTTACAGTAAACGTTCATTTGTTTATGACATTATTCGGTTTGATTCGCTAAATGGTGATTTAACGGAACAATTACAGATAGCATTTTTTTGAATACTAAATCTTTAAAGTTAGATTACCTTACATTTTATTTTACTTTAATCATATTTTTAAATAAAAAATAGAATATAGAGTGATAAAAATAATGTACAATTTGTCCCTGAACATGTTTCGGTTTTTATTTGTTAATAGCAGTCATTTCAATTCTCCACATGCATATATAACAACTTTGCTCGTTGTTGCGCCAGTTTTTGAACCGACACGTTCAATTTTCCGGACAACATCCGCTCCACTAATTACATGACCAAATACAACATGTTTATTGTCTAACCAATCGGTTCTGGAAATAGATAAAAATAAATATGTTAGAAATTAATTGAAACACAAATTTAGCTTAGAATAGGTTTCTAAGCATGGCAAATTTTAATGTTGTGAGTTTGTTCAAACTTACTTTGTTGTGCATATAAAGAATTGCGATCCATTTGTATTTGGTCCAGAATTAGCCATAGATAACGTTCCGAATCCATTATGCTTCAAAGTGAAATTCTCATCAGCAAACTTCTTGCCATATATTGATTTACCACCAGTACCATTATTGTTGGTGAAATCTCCACCTTGACACATCTGAAATATATTCAATTATCTACATATGTGCTTATTTGAAACAACGTATTTTTTGATATTCTTACAAATTCTGGTATAACACGATGGAAAGAACTTCCTTTATAACCAAATCCATGTTCTTGTGTACAAAGTGCACGGAAATTTTCAGCTGTTTTAGGAACTACGTCCGCTCTTAGTAACATTACAATACGGCCCACATCATTGCCCCCTATTCGTATATCGAAATAAACTTGTGGATTCCGTTTTTCACTTTTCTCGATTACAGCGGGACCTGTTGACGGTGTTTGTGCTTCCTCTGTCGATTGTGGTTCACTACCTCCGCCCTCAACTTCATTCTTTTCTGCCAAAGTCGCTCCGGCATGTTTCTGAAGCCAATCATCGTCCGCCCAAACGGGTTTGAAACTGCCTTCTTTAATGCGAACAGGTTTAGCTAAGTTCACACGTATTGTTCGTCCACACAGCTCCGCATCATTCTAAGTAAAAGGAAGGCGTTTTATATTGATTCATTATTGAAAACCTTATATTAAACATACCATATTGTCTATTGCGGCAGCTGCATCTTCCGGCGATTCATATTCGATAAATGCAAACCCTCTGTGTTTTTGTGTCTCATAGTCGACGGGCATCTGTATATCAGCAATGTCTCCAAATGGTATGAAGGCATCGTTTAACAGTTTTTCATTGACTTCATCCGCCAACGAACCGACATAAACCGTACGCTTGTCATTGGACATCTCGATCAATACAATAGCACTATATTATGGTTTTACTATATATTAAATTAAATAAACTAAATTCAAGATGAGCGCAGCACACACGATCTAAGCACACCAAACGTTTACAAATGCCGGCTTTGCTTCATCGAAGGTAAACATTAAACAGCTGTTTCTATTTAATTGAAATTGTTAGGTGCTCTGGCCACACAACACACTGTCTTTATAAGCTGAATTTTCTATTTTAAAAAGAGCAAAGATGAACAAGTGTTTATATAATATTCATCAGCAATAAAGAAGATACACGATTTACAATTTCATAGTAAATGATTTTAACTCCTTACGGCAAAATGTTTACAATAGACAACAAAATGTTTTAGAGCTAATATCTAAAGGGCTAAGCACAATGCTCGCGTTGAGCCATCCGTCGTTTCCACAAGGAAACGATATGCGTTTGTGTTATCGTTAACTTGTGGTTGTTGGATATTCGATAACATATAATGCGACGGATGGCTCAACGCGAGTATTCTGCATAGTCCTTAATACGCAGCCATGAAGGGCTAAGCAGAATGCTCGCGTTGAGCCATCCGTCGCGTTATATGTTATCGAAAATACAACAACCACAAGGAAACGATAACACAAACGCATATCGTTTCCTTGTGGTTGTTGTATTTTCGATAACAAATAACGCGACGGATGGCTCAACGCGAGCATTCTGCTTAGCCCTTGATGTAATAATAAGGTGATGTATCACAACAACAACCTTTGTTTTTGTCTCGATTATCTGTCAAAATTTTCCATATAATATTTCAAATGGTTGGCAACACTGCATAACGAATTCAAGTAGAAATCACCCACTTATATATATATATAGATTATTACTCAAGCGCATAAATGTGTGCAGTTATAACTTGTGTATACAATACAAATGATTAAAATCGAATTGCTCTTTGTAAAAATGATACCAAAGAATAATTTAAAAAAATTCTTTTCAATGCATTGCTGTTCTTGATATTAGATTTTTTCAACAAGAATGCATCTTCGGAATGCAAGGATATGGTGACGTAAAATGTTGATCAAAAATGCTGCAATGCCCTAAAAACTTTTACTGGTCAACATAGGCGTTTACCTCTGTTCTGTTCATTCTGTTGTGACTGATTTTTTTAATATATTCTGTACTAAACAAACGATCAATTTGATATAATAAATGCTATTATAAATCGTTAATTGAATTCCTCACTTACTGCAAAAATATTCCTTCCTTCTACAAAAAGGGCATTCGAAATCGGATCGTTCCTTCGGGTTAATTCCCACTAATTCTAGCAATTTCTGGTACAACCCTTAACCCTTTGTGGTCCAATTTTGCCCACAGGCAACAAAATGTTTTAGAGCTTATATTTAATATACAGCTAGTAGATATATATTATTTGGCTATCATATGTCAAGACCTGACTATGGACGACACACACCAAAAGAAAAATCAAAATGTTGGTAAATTTATGAGCTTTTCAATATAGGGAAGAAGGTAAATTTGTGTACAGTACTAATTTGTGTATACAGTCGAAATTATTTAAATCGCTTCCTATTCAAATTATATGAATTTTGCCATCAAAATTATTTTTGATTCTTGTAAAAATTAATATAGAGAATAATTTAAAATGATTTTTCTGTCGATTTTGCATTTGTTTTTCTTGATATTGGACTTTAATTTTTCCGAAAGAATGAACTGTATCTCCCGAATGCAAAGATGTAGCGATGTCAAATTTTGAGCATATCCTATTTAGGATAGTTGCATTAAATCTGTGAACAGAAATTTTTTCTAAGATTGCGGAAAAATCGGGGTTCAAAGAGTTAAGGAGCTCTTGTTACAAAAATGTTAAAAAATGCAATAAAGCAAAGTCCAGAGGCAATTTTTTTTTCGACGTTTCCACGCCACTCTTTCCCACCCCTGCCGACCGAGGGGGCGACCTCCCCTTACGTAGGGATCGCGTACACACCATGATCCGTATCATGATGGGATTTGAGAGTGGAATAGAAAAACCAGCTACAGAATCTACTTCAATAGCCAGTTTGTTATTAAGTTTTACTACTCATTTAAAAATACAATAATAGTTCCGTTCCAGAACCTAAAAGAATCTACTAATTTTACAGGTTTTGCAAGTTTTTACTCGAAAACCGTTCCTGAACCCCCAAAACTGGTAAAACATTGAACTAAATTTAAGAGAACAAAAATCAAAATGGCGTTCTCTTTGTAAACTTTTTACTCGAAAAAATTGTCCGAGTAAAAATGGTAAACAGGAATGCCAACTTCTGCTTGGCTGTTATGTATATTTTGAAATATTGTCATCCAATTTTGGCATATTTACTAGATTTGCGTTCCCGAACTTTTCAAATTATTTTGTACTCTGAGAACGATTTTGAAATGTTTCCCTTTTACTAGCTTTACCATTTAAAAAGTACTGGAACATACCAATTATTAGATTTTATTTGTTCCACGCTCAAGCAAAAATCTACATTAGAGTATACAGAGTTAAAGTCAATACACATTTTACTAAGAAGATCTCCCATAGAGTAATTCGTGCGGTGGAAGTCTACATATAACAGTTGATAGTATCTACTAGATCGGACAGGAACATTTATTCCAATAGAAGAAATTAGGAAAAGGGCACAAACAATTACACAATGTTTCAATTATGTGGCCACTTCGAACTCTATGTTTTTCATAAAACCCGTTATTTATGGAAAATTTTTCTATTTTCACACTAAATCTCTCTCTATTAGCCCGATGAATAAAATATATTCTCTGTTCTCAATAAGATTTTAAAATGACTGATTTTGCATCAAATCGTCGTTTTTATAACAAGGAAATATGTCCAATTCAATTCAACACATAAAATAATTTGTATAACATAGTAACGAATACTAAGAGTACTAAAATTCTGTCAAATATGTCATCTATCGCTGTTAGAACTAAAAACAATCCTGTTGTCACAGTCATATGTTAGAGATTTGTTTTAATCATAAAAAACGCGATAAACAATGATTTTATGAGTGAAGTTGCTGAAATAAACAGTGGTAGAGCCAAAGATACAAATAATTGATTATAAATAATGTCGAGCAATATGTTTCGCACCGCTAAATACAAAATAGATTTTGTAAATTTTTCGTCATATCGCCGGCTTTTTGTGGTTCTACTATGTGTTTGTATTGTTTTTTACTTATTGCCGCCCATTTTTCGTTATCTATTCCTTGGAAGGGCACCGGAAAACAAAGGTATGTTGTTGAAATCATGCTCCTAACAGAAACTGCATCGGCTAACACATGCCTTCTTTTAGATCCCTTAATGCAGTGCATGGACGATCGTTTGACTCCATTTTTCTTACAAAATTTCGAGTTTGATGCCAATATAAGGCATGTGCCACCATTCGAGGAAGAACGCAACATTATACCATATGTCGGCAATGGTTATATAGGCTTGGAGGTGGCACATGATGCCCCTTTAAATATTAAATATGGACGAGCTATGCAACTGCCAACTCAGTTTCATCCGATTGTTTCGGTTTTGCAGACAGCCGAATCGGGTAGAGAAGCAACCGTTGTGGAATATCTTTCGGGTATTGTTTGGAGGTAAGTTGAAATAGTTCCGCGTCCCGATTTACAAATAACAAGAGACATTCTTGATACTAATGCATTTGGAACATTCTTATTGCGAGTACAAATATTGAAGAGAGTTTCTCTTAAATAAATATTTATTTATGTTATTGACACCGAAGGGTAGGCATCATCTTTCAGTAAGATGTGAATTTCCTATTAATCATGTAGACGGTTAATTGATTATTTACTAATTTCATTGCGGTGTAAAGATTGGTATTGAGTTATAAACGAAGCTACATAATGGAAAAAATCTCATTATTTTTATTTGTCATTCCTGCTTCGTTAGAGCATTTATTTCCAGAAAGCATTTTACTGCTACAACACTTTAACCGCTAAGTACGCGTAGGACGGAATAATAATTTTTTTTATAAATGCCATTTGGTTTTTGAAAGCCTCATAAAAGGAATATACCAATATTCCCATTCCCATCTTTTAATTCTATATATTTTTCTTACTTTCAGATTTCAATGTTTCTCCAATATGTTTGTATCATATTCTTATTATGCTCACCGAACGCATCCAAGTATTCTTATGCAAGAAATTAAAATTACAAATACACGCAATACTATGGAGGAGGTTGAACTTATATTACCACGAGTACATTTTCAGTCACCCTACACTCGTACCATACCACTAGGTTCCACGGAATCAACAAAGGAATTTCAAATTATCACGGGTACTCTAAATCCAGATCCAGAGGATACATCCTTGATTATCGTGGTTGCCATTGTAATACCAAAAGTCTCCAGAAGTATACAATTAAAGAAACGCGGTAGTATTAAAATAGAAATACCAATAGCTGTACATTACTCAAAGCCATTAAAGAGAGACAACGAAGAACAAATGAGGACAACTATTGCAGAGACGGGTCAAAAAGCTACCTTAGCCATGAATAAAGTACTACAGAGTTTACAATCAAAAACCGAATCTGCCGCTACGGCTCTGCACAATTTCCGACAGGCCCACATTAACGTTTGGTCTGACTTGTGGGCTACAGGTTTTACGATCAGTACTTCGAAAGCGGAAAATAGTTTAAATGGTGATCGTATCAATGCCACAATGTACGCTGTCTTATCACAAACTCGTAGTTATGAATTTGAGGAATACATTTCAGTATCTGCACCATCCAAACAGGATATTGCCAAGGCTTTAACATATGCTGAGGGTTGCTATGATTCCTATCATACCTTACAAGCTGATAATCTGTGGCTACCAATGGATTCATTGGAAAAACTGAACAAAGTTGTCTCTTCGTGGATGTTAACGCTCGAAAAACAGGGTTGTCACAACCTAATTCGGGCTGGTTCTTCTGGTGTAATTCAAGCTATGGTACTAAGCTTCGGAAGTTTCCGATTCAGTAATCAACA